AGTAGAAGTAGTAGTAGTGGTAGTAGTAGTAGTAGTAGTAGTAGTGGTAGTAGTAGTAATAGTAGTAGTAGTAGTAGTAGTAGTAACAATAGTAACAATATCAACCGTACCATTCGTATCATCGTAGTCGTAAACATAAGGATAATAATTCTATCGCGTAGAAGAGGAGGAGGAAAAGGATGATGGCCAGTGCAAGCCCGAAGCTGATACTAATGTACGCATTTCCACTGAAGGAAGTGCCCCGTTGGAAGGCACAAGTTTTACAATCCTGAACCATGCCAAAACACCGCCCTTAACACTTCAACCCCACGAACCAACCTTACTGTTGTATCTTGAAGTTCCGGAACCGTGCCAGAACGCATTCTTGGGACTTCAACGCCGCGAGTCAATGTAACAGTTGCGCCCTGACAATCCGACATCGTGCCGAAACACCATTCCTGGGACTTTAGGTGCGAGGGTCCTCAGACTTGTTGTACACTCTAACAACACATGTGCACGGCACTGGGGCGAGAACCGCACTTTGAACAACAAACTGTCCTCCACCCGTGAAGCTCTTGCAAATCCCACCAGCCCTCTGGGCGTCGGTGGTTTAGGGCGTTTCCTCTTCCACCCCTCCCTCTTCCCCTTCGGGGAGGGGTTTACCCCTCCCCCTACCCCCTCCCCAGAGGGGCGGGAAGCGGTCAGAGCGTCCAATACAGCCTCGGCGAGGAAGCCAAAATCATTGATTTTAGCAGGATTTTGGCCCCATTTTGGCCTCCTGGGGGGGCAACGCTAATTAAAGCTCAGCTCTTCTTTGATAGATCTCCTCCAAGATGGCACAAAGAAGCGCCCAGGAGGCCCCAAGAGGTCCCAAGATGGCCCCAAGATGGCCCCAAGAGGCCCCCAAGAGGCCCCCAGAAGGCCCCCAAGAAGACCCTCAGAGGCCCCAAGAGGCCCCCCCCCCCGAGGCACCCAAGACCCCGAAGAGCCCCCCAGGATCGCCAAGAGACCCCCAAGACGTCCCAAGAGGCCCCCAAGAATCGCCCAAGAGATACTCCAAGAGGCTCCTAGAGGCATCCAAGAGACCTCTGGCCCTTGTGCTTGCCCTCCTCCTCCTCCTCCTGTTCCTCCTTCCTGCTCCTACTCCTTCTCTTCCTCCTCCTCCTCCTCCTCCGCCTCCTCCTCATCCTATTCATCCTCCGTCTTCCCACTCCCTCATCCATCCATCCATCCACCTCCTCCTTCTCCTCCTCACTCCTTTGCACGGTTCGGCCGTCCTCCTCTTTGCTGCCGCACTTCCCTGATCACCTCAACTCGCCTGGACATCGTTTCGGGATGGGCTGGTGGGGATAAGCGGAACGTCTAGAATTTAATGACGAGTGCGTGCGGCGCGAAGGCAAAACCAACATCTTGAAAACGGAACCGCCCTCCACCCGTGAATCTATTCTAGCTGTCATGCCGATTGTGTGCGGCGCTAAGGCGAGCGCCACATTTTGGGAACGACCTGCCCTCAATCCGTGAAGCTCTGGCGATGTTTTACAACGGATGTGCGCGGCGCTCAGGCGAGAGCCACATGTTGAAAACGGCTTGCTCTCAATCCGTGGAGCTCTGTGCGCGGCGCGACAACAATAACCACATAAGCGGCCCGCCTATCATCCGTGAAACTTTTGCAGATTCTGGATTTCAGGATCACAAATGGTAAACACATCTCAAGCGAACCGTCCGGCCCGCCCTTCCGACCGGCCGCAAGGTGCGACAGGGAGGAGTTATTCATAAGCTATGGGGGAGGGAGGAGGGAGGAGGAGCGAGGAAAAGAGGAAAAGGGCGAGGAAGAAAAGGACAGGAGAAAGGAGGGGGAACGGGGGGGGGGATGGAGGAGGAGGGGGCGCGTCAGCGCTGGCCCGCCTATCGCAGGCTGGCGGCTTTTCGGCGCTGGAACGCCAGCTGCGGTCTGACGACGCCGCTGGCCGCTCAGTCAGAGCGAATGCGGTCCGTGCTGCGGCGGTCGTCTGGGCAGTGTCCTGTTACTGGGCGAACGAGCCACTGCCGGGGCTCATCGCCCAGACTCCACGGCGACTCGACAATGAAGGGCACGAGTCGGTCACCAAAGTACTTATCTGGCGTTCTTGTCCCGCTCCGCCGCCCAGGCGGGACCGCTTGCCCTTGCCTGCGGGCAGCCATGCCCGCGACCTGCTCCGCCGTCGGGTGGCGAATGGAGACGTCCACCCACTGGCGCCGTGCGCCCTCGTTGTCCACGATGGCGCGCTCGGGCAGGTCGGCGCCTGGTGGATCCGCTGGCCGCGGGGTGCGCTGGCATGCCAACATCGGGACCTTCGGTGGCTCGTAGCTGAGTCAGCGCCTGATCAGCTTGGTCAATGAATCTTCGAGCCTGCTGTGGCGCACGACCCCGACGAGGGTGCAGGCTGTGGAGAGCCTGGCCCTGTCACCCATCTGGGCGCCGCTGGCAGCTGTGCACAGGCCAGCCCCCCTGGCTGTATTCTGGCGGAGGCAGCGGCCAGCTAGGCCTGCGCGCGCTCCAGCCTGCGCACTAACACTGGGTCACCGGGGTGCAACATAAGGTTGTCGCCCTTGGGCCTCCTGAGCCCAGTGACAGCGCTCTCTTGTCCTCGGGGAACGCTGCCGCGACGCAGCGTGCTGGTATTATGCTAGAGCTTCACGTGTCTGCTCTGCTTGGGTTCGAAGGGCCGTAAGGAATGCGGCCCCGTGTGCTGGGTCTCTGGGGTGTCTCAGCTGTGCACGCGCCTGCGTCAGCGCTTGCTCAAGGTTGGGTAGCACTTCGAACGCCTCATCCGCGGATGCCCCAAGGTCGCCGGTCACCCACTCTGCGGCGAACGACCAGCCCGTCCAGAAAGCGGTCGCCCTGGGCGTCGCCGCCTGCTAGGCACCACCGCGAAAGGCCTAGGACCTCTCTAGGACCTCTCTACTCTCGCCAAATCCATGGATCGGGGGAGGTGCCCTCCCCAAAATGCGGCCGGTGCGGTGCCGCCACATTCGGCGGCGGAAATCCGCGATTTCCACTGGAAACGGGACCCGTCGCTATCCACGCCCCCTTGATCCATGTTTGCGATCGCTTGAGAGGGCGCAACCTGTCCTGCGCCGCATTCAAGCGGCTCTCCTGATGACAAAAGGGGAAAGCGGGGGTCCCCCTGGTCCCCGATCGCCTTCAGGTCCGCGCCCATCGTCGGGAGCGCCGCCGTGCAGTGCCCCTACAGTCCGGGCGGGAGCACGCCCGCGCAGGCAGGCGCCCACTGCTTTTTCTGCCGTGGTAGCCCCGGGTCGCAGGGTGATGGCAGCTGCTGGAGCTGGAACGCGTGCGCGGCCAACGCCACTAGAGCCACGATGTACGCGTCGTCCAAGTTGGGATGCATCGGGATGTCCGCGTCGAAGTCGCTCCGCGGCTCGAGGAGGAACTGCCGAGCTTTGCGCTGGCCGACTGCGAAGGCCGCCAGTGTCAGCGGGCCCCCCTGGTCGACACCTCGGGCGCTGTCGACCTGCTCGACATCGCCGGCTGCGTCGTGCCAGAGGTGGGCGCCGCGGCCGCTGGACCACGTGTCGTGCACGCGGGCGACCTCTGGCACATGCGCTGCCATGGCCTGGATGGCCGGGCCGCGCTGCATGCTCTGAGGGTGGTCTTGACGTCCGCCTGGGCGAGCGCCGCGCTCGGGGAGCGCGTCGCCTGCGCCTGCAGCTGCTTCAGGAACAAGCCTGCGCCGCTGCTTCGGCAGGCCCCCCCTGCTGGTCTGGGCCTGGCCGTCTCGTTTTTTCCATGGCATAACACAAACGCGCTGCACGAGTGTCAATCTGACGTGAGACGGAGCACCGCCTGGCGGTGGAGCCTCGCCCTGCTTACCCGTGACAGGGCCCCCCGCCGTTGGAGGGTGGCGCCTGCCAGGAGAGGTCGGCTCTCGCTCCAGCCCGCGCCTGCGGGGACGATCTCCCCGACCCAGAGGGCCCGCAGCGCAGCTTCTGGCACGCCCCCAGGTGTCAACTCTGCAGCTGCCCGCGCCGTCGCCTCCAGGACGCACGGGTCAACCGTGAACGCGGCCAGGGGCTCGAGACGTGTTCCGGGCAGCCCAGGGGCCGCGCAGCGCCTGGGGCCGACGCTCGACTGTGCCAATCTCCTTGAGGACTGCCTGAAGCACGTCTGCGCTCGGGGCGGCCTCAGGCCAGGGGCCGTGCCCCTGCGCGGCTGCTACGATGGTGGCGCCTCTGCGGAAGTTTGACGGTGAGGAACCGTTGGATAAGGAAGCCAAGGCCTGGAAGCCAGTGGAACTCCAACCGTGGATTGGCTGTGGATAGCACCGCCGCCCTCAGCAGATAGGAATCCTACAATATCTGAAGTCTCCTGGGCACATTCCTTAATGAACGCCCCCACCGTACCCGAGTAGGCCGAGGGTGTCTCTGCCCAACCTCTGGAAGAGTACCTCCAGGCGCCGCCTGGGCGGAACTGCACGTCACACATCTCCACCTGCTCTGGTCTCTGCTTCCTCCTACTGCGCGGTGCGATCTTCGTGTCGTTCGTCTCGCCCCGACGCGGCAGTCTCCATCTCGCCCTGCCGCGAGCGAGCTCTGGCTGCGTCGAGCTCCTCGCCTGGACTATCGAGCGTCGAGTCGGAGCCCTTGCCATTCCAACCAACGGCCCATGCAGCCAGGGCGACCGTGGATGCGATCGCGGAATTGCACTCCTCTCTCCCACCCTCCTCCTCCTCCTCTTCCTCCTCCTCCTCCTCCTCCTCCTCTTCCTCCTCCCCTTCCCTTCCAACCTACGTCTTTCTGTCATCATTCTCCTCTCCCCCCTCATCCAAGCCTTCTCTTCCTCCCCCTCCTCCTCCCCCTCCTCCTCCTCCTCCGCCCTCGGTCCTCCGTCCTCCTGCCTCCGCCCTTCTCCCTACTCCTTCTGCGTTTCCTCCCCCTCCTCCGCCTCCGACGCCGACGATTCTGGCGACTCCGACGACGACGAAGACGACGACGGAGAAAACGACCTCCCGCTCCAGTGGGGCCTACGACGAGCTGGATGGGCAGCTGGCCGCCCCCGAGCTCGAGGCTTCTCCTCGCCCCGGGGGGCGGGCTGCCAGGGACAGGCCGGGCGAGGTGGACCTGCCAGAGGAGGGGAAGAAGGAGAAGGAGGAGGAGGAGGAGGAGGAGGAGGAGGAGGGATGAGGGATGAGGGATGAGGGATGAGGGATGAGGGAGGAGGGAGGAGGGATGAGGGATGAGGGAGGAGGGAGGAGGGAGGAGGGAGGAGGAGGAGGGAGGAGGGAGGAGGCCCAGCGTCTCAGAAGAGGGATCCAGGGTGACCGCCGCTACCGCAGCGGCAACATGAGCTGAGCTCGGAGCTTTGCCCGGCGCCGCGCGCAATGTCAACGTCAGCGCGTGTGCGTGAAAGACATTTGCCGTTTTACGCGGCCACGCAGGCCGTGCGACGGGAATTAAGCAACACCTCTACTTCCCTCAGCGACTCAACAGCTTCCCCAATAAGACCAAGGCGAGGCAACGGGTCTTCCGAGAGAGGCCGGCCAAGAGCACGACTGAGGGCAGAATTGGCACGACTGACTCCCTGAGGAGGAGGAGGAGGAGGAGGAGGAGGAGGAGGAGGAGGAAGAGTAGGATGATGATGATGATGACGAGGAGGAGGAGGAGGAGGAGGAGGGGCAGGAGGAGAAGGAGGAGGAGAAGGAGGGCAGGAGGATGAGGAGGAGGAGAAGGAGGAAGGAGGAGGAGGAGGAGGAGGATTGTGCCTTTCCGAACTAGGGGGAGGGAAGACGCGGCTGCCGAGCGCCGGGCATGGAGAAAGGAGTTATTGTTGCGTTATCTTCTCCTCCTTTATCGGCCGCTCGTTTACTTACTCTTCGCCCTAGCGGGCTCTCTTTTATACAGAAATGTTGTTAGTCGTCGATCAGAGTCTGGCCAACATAAACACAAGAGGAAGAAGGCTGCTCTCCTCGCTCTGCCCATGCCTGCACCGCGTCAGCAACGAAGCACACTGACCTCCCTCTCGCCAGGCTGGACCAGCTAGAGGATGACCTGCTAAAGGTGAGGGCCGGCGTTGCGGACCTGCTAGTGGAGCAGGGGGAGGAGGAGGAGGATCGACCGCACCCAAGAGTGACCCTAGGCAAGAGTGAACTTTGATGCAAGGCTTGCTGAACGTTGAGTTCTGTGCGAAAGCAACGGCCTACGAGCTTGAGTTTTGCCCGCCCCGCCCCACCCCTCTCTCCGAAAGCCGCGCGCCACAGGTCACTCTGGCGAAGGGTCACTCCTACGGGTGGCCGAGAAGAGGAACGGCAGGCGGCTGCTGGACCCCAGGTGCTGGGGATGAGGATGACGCGCCGCAGCGGGCTGGCTTCCATGATACCCTCTCCTGGCAGTGCTCGATCAAACATTGCTCGGCGTGTGGACTTGTATGCCAACATTTTCCCGTGCATACGTTCTGTGCCAGCTGCCGTATTCTGTGCTGGTCGATCGTCCCGTTTCGGTACTGTCTTGTCGTCCACCCAGAACTTTTGTATCTGAAAGCTCTTTCGCGCGCCGCTGCTGCTCCTGTCCCCGTATTCCGCCGCTGCCGGTCCTGTTCAGTGTCGACGTGGTGCTGGCGACGGTCAGCTGTCCAGTCGGGACCTCGGCTCACAGTGGCGTGGCGAGCCGCGCCCTACGGATGCCTCTGCGTGTGGGATAGCCAGGAATAGAGGAAGAAACAACGGCATCAACATAAACTTTTGGCGCTCCGCGCGGATCTCTTGGATCTGCGCTGGACCCCCCTCCCTTGGCGCGCGGAGCGCGCCAGGGGCGCCACGGCCCGGCGCGGATCCAAGAAGTCTGCGCGGAGCGCCCCAAGTGCATGTTTGTGCAGTTCTTTCTTCTTCGAAAGAAGTCTCTGCTGACACGCCTTATGCCTCTGTGCGATCAAGACACGTACGCCAGCTGCGCGATTGAAGCCATCATTTTCCAGCTCGGGGCCGAGCCGCGGTGGGGCGCTGGCCAGACAGAACCGCAGCACGGCGGCGCCAGTGCTCTGAGCCGGCACCTGGCCGCCGGCCGGATGGCAACAGCCGTGACGCGAGCGGCGCCGCTTCAGCGGGGGCGCGCAAAAATGGATCAGCGGTCCGTGGATTTGGCGCGCGGTCGCCAAATGCTAGAGGGCAGAACATCCACCCCGATAATAACCACCACGACGCGCGAAGCCGTTTAGCAAACGCACCTGAAGAAGGAATCAAAGAGGGCAAGGCTGTTTACTCAACGCCCAGGGACGTGTAGTAAAAGCCAACTGTCCGGTCAGGTGGTCTTTCCTTCCTTGAATTACACAGATCGGGGGAGGTGCCTTCCCCAAAATGCGGCCGGTGCCGCCTCGTTCGGCGGCGGAAGTGTGCGATTTACCATGGAAACGGGGCCCGCCGCTGATCCACGCCCTCTTGATCAATGTTTGCGATCGCCTGACGATTGCAGCGGGCAGCGCGCACTGCAGGGCTCACAAACATTACCACTCGGCCTGGAGGCAGGGCACCGATTCGCATGCGCAGCGCTCACACGTGCACTGCGCTGCACTGTGCAGGTTCGCTCCCGCTCGGAAGCGGCGCGTCGTTTGTACTGTTTGTGCTCAGCAATTGCGCGGTCGCACGCCGCCCCCTGGCGCGCGTGATTCAAATGTAGTTTCGGCCCCCGCGGGGTCTATTCACCAGCCGTCGGAGGAGGGGGGGCGTCATTGCGGCATCACAAGCTGCCATTACTTGAGACAGTACTTCTGATTTGGATATCCTCTTGATGTGAAACCTTCTCGGTGCACGCTGCCTGAAGAGGGAGGAATGACGTTTCATGATTCACCCCTTTGTGCATGACCGGGCTACTGATCGACAGTTCGACTTTGGTATCCAGCGCAACATGCGGCAGCAGGAGGAGCTGGAGGAGGTGGAGAGGGGTGGTGCAAAGCTAGGTGCACTCGCGCCGTATCCGATACCCTATCCTCCCCTCATATCCCTTCCCATTGCGCGGATTGATCTCCGTCTGCGGACGCGTGTCATAGCTGACCTGGAACTCCAGCAGAAAAAAACACATCGTTTTGTGCGCAATCGAAGAAGGAGAACTGCGCACATAGCAGCAGGTGGCGGGTGGACAGGAGGATGAGCAGGAGGACAAGGACAAGGAGGATGAAGGATGAGCACGAGGACGAACGACACCAGCAGCAGCAGCAGCAGCAGCAGCAGGAACTGGAGCGGAAGGGGCGGGATGAGCAGCAGGACCAGGGGAAGGCAGAGGAGGGGAAATGAGGGGGGCGACAACGAGGAGAAAGGACTCGGATCCAGAAAAGTGGCCTGCGCTGGGGCGAGAGCGCTGGTCTGAACGATGGGAGCAAAGCGCCGATCCGGAAATGAGACCCACGCTGCAGCAGGAACACTGTTTTTCTTCTAACACCGACATCGATCGGACGGTAAAAACCATACGAAACAAATGCGTGAAATCCTGTTTGTAAAAGAGCAGCACGCGGAGAGGACCGGAGGTCTTCCGGACTTGTCGGGGGAGAGAGGGGACCACTATTCAGAATGTGTAACTGTCGAGGGGGAGGATGAGGGGCAGGTGGAGAGGGGAAGATAAAGGAGCAGGGAAAGGTGGATAGGAGGAGGGAGGAGGAGGATCCCGCGTCCTGAGGGGGCTGCGGGTTCACCAGAAGACGATGCGCTAAGCCGCGCAGTCGCCCGCGCAACCCTCAGGCAGGGGGAGGAAGAGGATGCGGATTAAGAATATAAGCAAATCATGCTAACGTGTACCCTGGGTCTGAACTCCTTACACGCCTGGACCCGTCGGCCACTCGTCCTAAAGCGGGACGGGTGCCGGGGTCGCTCAGGAGTAAAAGCAGGGAGAGGAGGAGGAGGAGGAGGAGGAGGAGGAGGAGGAGGAGGAGGAGGAGGAGGAAGAGGAGGAGGAGGAGGAGGAGGAGGAGGAGGAGGGAGAGGAGGAAGGGGAGGAGGAGAGGGAGGAGGAGGAAGGCCGTTAGCTGGAAATTCGTACCCCCCCGTGCAAGGGGGGGAGACGGCTTCAGCCAGCTGGCCGTGCCGCGGCCGACGGGCGCCACTAGCCACACGGCTCTCGGAATGAGCATCAAGATCCACGTGCGGAGAATCGCGGTCTACGGGCGGGTCATCAAGACCTACATGTGGATCATCAACATCCGTCGGTCGTAAGACGCAGGTACAAACAGGAAGCAGGAAGGCGGATAAGGTAGATTGGGTTCAGGCCCTCCCAGAGAATAACAGCACACAGCATAATCACATCGATTATTGAAGTGGGAAGGCGCTTGAAGTATGTCCGGATCTGGGAATCCAGAAATACCTACTTTCAACGACCGGCGCGTATCATTACGAGGATCCCCACTTTGGAGACGTACTGGCAGCAGTGTCGAGAATCAGAGTGGAATCTTCTCTTAAGCGTATGGGATACCACGCGAGACATGGACTTCAGCCAAATCCCAAAGACATCATGATCGTTACCGCCGCTACTCTTCAGGAGTGCGACGACAAGTACGACAGCAAGTACAACAGCGGATACAGCAAGTACGATACCGAAACTTCTGGCACGACCACCAGCACGAGGTCTACGACCACAAATACGACCACCATACGAAGCCGCACGGCAATCTCCACCTGCCCGCGATCATCCCGGCGCCAAGCCTTGCGGCGGAGGTTACTTGCGAGGCTGAGCTGCGAAGGCCGCGTGCTGAGCTACGAGGGCCACCGACAGAGGTGTGAGAGGTACCAGCAGGGCAACGAAGGCCATCAGCTGAGCTCCGAGTGCCACCAGCCGGGCTGCGAGTGCCGTTGCCTGAGCTGCCAAGGCCACAGGAAGACCTTCGGGAGCCACCGGCACGGGTACCGGCAGAGATGCCAGACCCACCAGCTGAGCTACGAGGACCACGTGCGGATCTGCTGGACCACGCCTTGATGTACGAGGGCCACCATCTGAGCCTCGGCAGCAAGCAGAGCTCTGCGGGCCACTGCCTGAGCCACGAGGGCCTTCTGCGGAGCTTCGAGGGCCACACGGCAGCACGCACAGCTCCGAGAGCCACAT